GGCACCGCGACGGACGCTCGGCTCTCACCGGCGGGGGAGGCCCGTTAGTCACCAGCGCCTGCGGGACGGCCGGCTTCACCTTAAAGGGGCGCGCCAGGCCCGCGGCCTGCGAGGACGAGCGAGGTCGCGCCGCGTCAGAGATGCGCCCTGCACGGAGTGGGTGGGGGCGCGGGCTGCGGGCTGTCGCAGCGTCGCCGGCGCGGCTTCTGGGGCCGGGCAGAAGTGCAGCCGCGAGAGTGCAGTCCCCACGCCTGGGCTCCGATTTCTCCGTGTTGGGGCGGGGTGCCCGCCAGGCCCTTCTTGGGCTGGAGGTCCTGTGTTTGTAGAAGGCGGCAGGGAGGGAGGTGGAGGAGAAATGTCCATTTGGTGCCCAGATCTGGCGGGGTACCCAAGGCAAGGATCATAGCCTCCTTTTGATTTTTAAATTAACTTTTTTCCTCTTAGTGCCTAAGGCTAGCCTGGGGTTCATGGACAAATGAGATTGATGGGCTGAAGGGCTCATGTCTTTGGAGGTGCTGGTGCAAGTGAGTTCGCTTCTCCAGGCCTCCTTCAAGAGGCTGAGGCACTCTTCTTTCTCCTATATTGTAGCTTCTCCTCTGGCCTTCCTCTCAGGCTGGCTTCCCAGCACCCTGGGAACCTGTTTGCTTACCTGTCATTTAAGGCTGTGTCCTAATGTGTCATGACAATTGATTTATGCCCAGTAATCCAGTGAAATCAACAGATTCACTTTATTCAGAAGTATCATTTGAACGGTGCATTATGCCACTGTCTTAGTTTGGGTTTCATTCCTTCACCCCAAATTGAAATAGTACAGCAAAGCCTGAAACAAGAACTTACACGAAGTAGTTTATTTTGAGTAGTGGCCCCCAGGAGATAAAGAAGCAGGGAAAATGGACAGGGGAGAAGTTAAAGCCAGCATTAGACTGTGAGACTGAGCTGGTCATTGACAGTGACCAGGGTCAGCAGCCATCTGTTCTCCTGCAGCCCGAGGCAAAGGAGGAACTACCAATACTGACCCCACCTTAAAATTTTGATATTGCGTTCGTCATACATTTTTGCATTGTTTTTAAAATAATGCCGTAAAATAATAGTTGTATTTATTTGTGGGTGTCTTGCTTTGTTGCCCAGGATGGTCTCAAAATCCTCCCCCAGCCTGCCTAGTAGCTGGAACTACAGCAGCACACCACGGCGCCAGCTTAAATATTTATCTTGATTACTGAATTTCTTGGTGCCTCTTTATGTTTTTCACCAGCAAGTGCCTCACTCTTCACTGGCCTCAGCTGTGTTCCTCCCTTGTCCCTGTGAGTGACTGTGGTTAGTCCCACGGGCGAGGGGCTGTCTGAAGAGGAGGCATTTGTCCCCTCATTCTGTCCCCTTTGGTTAACTGGTCCACTCTGTGGGTGGTGAGTATGGGAGCTGCCCAGTCATCACTCAGCTCAGCTCTTTGTTGTTGCTTACAGGTGTATGGAAATCAAAGTGTTCTGTCCTCTACAGAAAGTGAATGAGCAAGTGCACTGCTTACAGCTCAGCCTGTTAGAAGGATTTCCCTTCATCGTTCTTTGGGTCCACCCCCTAAATGGGACTCTGCTGCAGTAACAACCCCTCCTTTTGAGCTAGTGTCAGCATGCCAAACTAACCCATCTGTAGGTCATTTTTTCTCTTCTCTCAGCTGGTTGCAGAAAGTTACCCACAAGGCCACAGATTTAAGCTGAGGGAGAAGTGTTGGCATATGTGTGAGTTAGGTATCAGAGAAGTCTGAGCTAGCTGTTATTGATTGGCATGCACCCTACTGACCTACTCAGCCCTGGTCCTGAATCTGCTGTTTCTGTTGTGTGATGGATTGCTGATTGGCCTGCTTGATGGTATGACTGATAGGCTCTAACAGTACTTAGAGATACTAGGTATCTCTGGTCAGCTCCACCGCTACGCTTTTGGTTTTTAATGGGGGCAAATAGCTGCATTTCTGAAGTCAAGTAACTGTCTGCTGTAGAGGTATGGTCTAGTTCCAGAACACAGAGGTCTGCACTGAAACTAAGAGTACTTACCAGAGACTCTGCCCAGCATCCTCATTCACCAAGAACACTTCTCATAGTATGGAGCAGGTAGCAGGGATGTTTGAACTATAGTTGAACACACTGTAGGGCTCTCTTACTCCCAGCTTCCAACACACCGAATAGATGGGTTAGAGTTGTAAACCATCCGGCACTATGTTTAAAGGTTAGAGCAAAACAACCTGTCTTTACTTTACAGGGGATAACCAGGCGTGCTGCAGAGTACTGCATTCCTAACTTCACAACTTTATTTCAAAATAACATGAGATGAAAGAAGTGAATGGGGATATAGATTAAATAAGATCAGCAATGATCTCAGTTTTTGTGTTCATTTTACTCACGTGTCCAGTTTCATGTACACTTAACTTTTTTAGAATGAAAAGTAAAACGTCACCCATGTGGAAGGGCCGTCATACTTTTTATCTCAGTCCTCTATATATGTAGCTTACTAGACCATGTAGAGTACATGCTTATCCTTGCTCACTAGGACAGATTAACATCATGCCATTAATACAGCGGACTACCAGGATGTCCTATACAGCACTGAGACAATCGAAGTCACTGAGCACTGTGACAGAAAGCAGGCGAGTTAACATAGCTCCTGTGGCAGGCAGCTTTTGGTGCGGTCGAAGTCTGTTTCCTATTACAACAGAGTAACACAGATCGGAGGCTGAGAAGTCTGATATCAAGGGGCTGCCATCTGTTACATGTGTTCTTCCTGTGTCATAACAGAGCAGAGGGCACCACTTGGGAGCATGAGAGAGCGCCTCTGTGTGCTTCCTTTTATTAAACTGATAAGAACAGATATTATACTTGATCTTAGCCAAAAGGCTGAGAAGCAATGTGTGCTTGCTTTTATATCCAAGCCACTCCTAAGACAACCAACTCGATCCTACAAAAACAGGATTAAAGGATTAATCTTTGCGTGAAGGTGGAGCCTCTATGACATATCACTTTCTAAAGGTCTCACCTTCCAATACCATCTCAGAGGCTTTTGAATTTCCACATGAGTTTTGGAAAAGACGTTCAAGCTAGCATCATCTTTACTGAAGGATATTGGGAAGATTATCTTTGATGTTGGTACTACTAACCTCTGAAAGTCTATCTAAAATGTGACTTAGAAAATGATTTAATGTATTAGCTGGAAAGATGAGGGTTATTGTTGGGGGCTTCCACTTGGTCTGTTAAGCCAGAACTCTATAGAGTGAAGGATCTCTAAAAAAAAGTTTATTAAGCTATAAATAACATTATGCTACTGAAAAAGGACCAAATCCTGGGACAAATTCCTACCACTGCCAGCAGCAGTGTTATGTAGCAGTTAGAAATATCTCCACTGGACCTAGAACTAAGTTTATTTCTACAGACATTTGGGAAGGAGAGCACTGTTTACATTAAAACTACTTTGGTTCTAGATAAGAAGGGTGGGGTCATGTGATAGCAGGGAAGTCCTAGGGAGAAGTGGGGTTAATAGCCCAGAAAGTTTATACATAAACTGGGTGCAGTGGCCTGGTGTTTGGCAATGATGGGATTTAAATCAAGATTACAACAGAATTGTGTGTTGTTTCACCTGAAGCTGTGACTTGATTTGCTTCTCTTATTTTTTCTCCTTTGCTATAGTTTGAATCTTAAATGTCTCCCAAAGGTAAAGATTTGGTTCCCAAGATGGCCCTGTGATGGTCAACCGTTAGGAGGTATGGCCTGATGGAAGGTCCTTAGATCACTGGGGGTGTTCCCTTAAAGATGATAATGGTAACCCTTGTCACTTTTTCTCTTTTACTTCCTGGTATAAGTGAGTTTGCCTTGCCACACGCTCCCAGCATGAGGAACGCCTTGCTATAGGCCCAAAATAATGAGGCTAATTATCTATGGATTTGAACCTCCAAAATTGTGAGCCAAAAGAAACTTTTCTGTTTATATATTAATTGTCTCAGGTGTTTTGTTATAGTAATAGAAAGCTATATCATACACTCATTCAGCCTCCAGCTTTTGTAATTTAGGACATCTCAGAAATTTTCTTTTATTAAGTGCTTTCTACCATAGTAGTATTTAATAAGATAGAGG